GGGGTGAGGTGGGGTGAGGTGGGGTGAGGTGGGGTGTGGAATGAAAACGTGCATTTTCAAAAGCAAACAGACCTTAGGTAAAAAGAAGTAGAATATACTTTGTGCACAGCAGCTGGGCTGGAGTAGAAAGGGGGTGAAGGTGAGGGGAGAGGGAGAAGGACCTCAGAGAGGAGGGGGCAGGGCTGGAGGGCGGGACTCGGGAGCCGGCCTCATGTGGTGCTGCCTGGTTTGATTCTGTCCCTGCTTTTCCTAACCTGGTCTCCAGTTTACTTCTGGGCAAACAGAGGGTTCTGACTCACTCCCCAGGCTTACAGATCTTCCTCATTTGATTCTCGCCGAAATGCAAGCGCTCTGGAGCCTAGGAGCTGGCTGAAGTCACCAGTGGGTAAATCGCAGACCCATTTGAAGCAGACGATCCAACTCCATAGCCAGTGCCCTTTCCAGAAACCAGGGACAGCTCTGCACCCACTGCCTTGGCCTCCATCTCTCGGACAGTCTGGCCCTTTCTTTCCTCACCCCCTCTTTTTGGGGAGTGGTGGCTGGTGGCTTCCCAACTCCCCCAATCTCTGCATAATGGGCAGAAGTCTCTAATTTTGTTCCTTCAGCTCAGAAACAGAATGAGAAAGGAAACACCTTGCAGATGTCACTCAGAGCAAAGTAAGGAAGGTTCTACCCCAGTCAGGCCACAGGTCAGGAAGATAAACATCAAAGAAGTGCCAGGAAGTAGCCAAGGAAGAATCTGAGATGAAATATCTCTAGCTTCCAAACCTATAATCTGTATTCTCTGTGCTGTGCATGCACGCATGTAAGTGTGCATGCATGTAAGCGTGCGTGTGCCTGTGTGCATGGATGTCTGAGGTCAACAACAGATGTCTTCCTCAATCTCTCCATATCTTTTGAGGCAGGGTGTTGTGGAATATTTGTGTACACTGTGAAGATGTATTGCTGTGACTGGTTAAATAAAGAGCTAAATGGTCAATAGCTGGCAGGAGAGAATAGGCGGGACTTCCGGGCAGAACTGAGAGGAGGAATTCAGACGCTCGATTTCACCAGCAGACTAGGAGCCAGTTGGATGTGCCATACTAAGAAGAGGTAACTGAGCCACATGGCAGAATGTTGATTTAAAAAATGGGTTAATTAAGTTATAAGAGCTAGTTGAAAAAAAGCCTAAACTAAGGCCAAGATTTCATAATTAATAATAAGTCTCCAGGTCATTATTTGTGGGCTAATGGCCCACAGATATTTCAACAAGAAAGCTTGTTGCAGCAGGGTCTCTCCCTGAGCCTGGTGCTCACAGATTGGTGGGGCCAACTGGCCAGTGAGCTCCAGCCATCTCTGCCTGCCTGCCCTGGAGTTACAGACACCGTGACCGGGTCCAGCTTTTTCACACTGGAGCTGGCTATCTGAACATGATCCTCATGCTCACACACGCCGACTGCGCTGTCTCCCTAGCCCCACCCCTGCAGTGTGCTGCTTTTTTTTTTTTTGATTGAGAGCTGTGATTAATGATAAAACAGAACAATCAGTCACACTGTCCAGGGTTTACTTTGAGGCAGGTGCTGTTCTAGTGGCCAGAGGTGTTCTGAGGCAATCTTTACCTCTATTCCATCTTCTACTTTGAAGGTGGAAAATGTAAATGAAAAATTAACCAGAAATAAGACTTCAGCCCCCTCCACCCCCACCCTGATCTGTGTATGTGGCTTGGACTTGCTCCCCTAGGTGAGAAGATGGGTTTGGGGGGCTTTGGAGAGTCTGGATCCTCAAAGAAGGGTCCGTGATTGCTTTTCTGCTGTTATTGATCCCTCACTTCTATCCACACCCTCCTCACCTCGTCAAGTTCCTGGCCAGGGGCCCTTTTCCATCCAGGTCTCATTTCCTCCTCCCTTCCCGCCTTGCAGCCAAACCCTATCTGTCTCCTTGACAGCCGGGACCCTGTGCCAAGAGCAATAACACCCTGTGTGCCTGTGTCACCTAAGGGAATAGGGTGGGGAGGGAAGGGAAGAGCTTCCTGCCAGGTGCCTTGGGGCAGGCAGCGGGTGGTGGTGGTGGGAACAAGAAATCTTCTGAGACCCAGAGGATATGCACAGGGGTACGTGAAGGATCCTGGGATGTCAGCTGACAAGAAGCCAGGAGGCAGAGGGAAATGCGAGGGTAGCTTCCCTGACACTTTAAGGGCAGAGACTGGGTGTGGGGTGATGGGGGATCAGAAGCAGGGAGTCACGACGATGGGGCAGAAATGGGGAGTGGGTTAACTTACATTTGTGCAGCATTTATTGCTTACACAGTATTCTTACCTACAATACAATATCAGAGAGGTTTCATGAGGCTACCCATTTAATGGACATGTAAGTGGAGGCTCAAATACAACTAAAGCTATGGGATACCAGCCACGGCCCTTGGTGCTTTTTTATCTGTTTATTAAAACTGTCTTCAAAAAGTAGTCACAGGAGAGAAGATAAATAGTTGTTTTTTTTAGAGCTGAGGGAAAAGGCTCTGGTCAGTGGTTCTCAGCCTGTGTGGGTCACGACCCCTTTGGGGGTCGAATGACCCTTTCACAGGGGTCACGTGTCCTACATATCAGATATTTACATTATGATTCATAACAGTAGCAAAATCACAGTTATGAAGCAGCAACAAAAATAACCTTGTGGTTGGGGTCCCCACCGCATGGGGGCTGTGTTGAAGGGTCACAGCATTAGGAAGGCTGAGGACCGCTGCTCTAGACAGTGCTCACGTTTTATCAATATGAGGCAAGCTCTTCTTCCCGGAGCCACACAGGGGCTAGGGACACTGTCTCGAGGACTTTGCAAACACGATTTCCCCATGCAAGAGAAGCACATTTCATCATTACCCGTTTGTACAGTTAGAGAAACTGAGTCACAGGGAGACAAAGGGGCGTGGGGGTGGGGTGTACACTACATGTGGGGTTTGAACAGAGGTGGATCTGATTCTGGAACTGGAAGGTCTATCTACCCTAATCTACAGCAGTTAATGAATGAGATTTTTTTTTTTTTCATTTTGAGTGAATGACTTTAAATCCTATGTCCTTTTCACTAGGTCAGACAGCCTTGAAGGCTTACCAAAGTCATAGTGACATCCCAAACCTAGTAACAAGGGGTTGGTAATTCGATGTTCTGAACAGACCACAGCAGTACCCACACCAAGATCTTAATGAGCACCTGTACCAAGGAAGGCCCATGGCCTTTGGTTCCTTGCAAACTAGCGTAGTCTTAAGCAATTGCGCGATATTCCTCCCCCAGGGTAATCTGTACATGTGGGAGAAGCAGCGTAATGAAGCGCCTTAAATGTCGGGCTCACAAGACAAGCCCTGCTTCACATCTGAGCTTCACCATTTACAGCTTGGGACTTTTAGCCCGGCTTCGCTGAGTCTTAGAGTTCTGTGCCTTAGAACCGCTTCCAGGGTAAAACTAAATCGTCCCTGCGCAGGGCTGTGTGCCACAGCACCATGCGTGCTTAAATGAGGAAGATGTGAGGAAGATGTGGGGTGAGGGGTAAGCGCTTGAGCTCTGGCCCCAGATTGAGTGTGAAGCTCATCAGGTGACCTCATCAAGTCCCTCGGGAGTGCCGGGAAGGTGACATGGGTGGGTGCAGCACCTCAGAACCGCAGAGCCACTGCTTCCCCGGAGATGAGGAAGACCCCTGGGTAGCTTCTCCCACTGTCTGGGCCAAAGCCTCCATCAGCAGCCACCACAGAACGAGCCCAGGGACTCTGGAGTTGGCGGAGGGCTTCTCCAGGGCCGCGATGTGAGGCTTTTGTGGTTCTACCGAATGTTCCTGCACTGGGGACTCCAGCAAATGTGACGTCCAAGGTCAGAGTCCTTCACTCCGGCTTTGCCTCGGGCGGTTCCAGGTTAGGGATTCTGAGCTGGCTGCTGGCCTCCCAGCTCCCCGGCGGTAGAGTGGGCATAATGTTTATGTGGCATGTATGCCTGGGCACAGCGGAAGAGTCCGGCACACACAGAGTGAGTGTTGGTGAACTGATAACTATTAGTCTTGACTGCAGAGGTACAACTGTTGAGTTCCTTTTTTGAGTAGACAATAATTAAAGAAAAAGGCTCAACTCTTTTGATAAGGAATATGTGTTTGTTTGTTTTTTTATATCTTTAAATCTGGTGACTGTCACATGATAGATAATGACCACTATTTTTTAGTGAAGGAAAGAAATGAGGTAGGTTAATCATCTGCAGGCTTGTGTGTTCCTGTGTGTGTGTGTGTGTGTGTGTGTGTGTGTGTGTGTGTGTATTTATGTGTGGTGAGAGTATATGTAAGTGTGTGTGGTGTGTGTATGGGGTGTGAGTGTGTGTGTATGTATGTGTGGTGTGAGTATGTATATGTGGTATGAGTACATATGTATGTGTGTATGTATGTGTGGTGTGAGTGTGTGTGTATGTATGTGCGGTGTATGTGTATGTGTGTGTGTTTATGTGTGTATATGTGAGTGTATGTTTGTGTGAGTGTGTGTATATATATGTGTATGTGTGGTGTGAGTGTGTGGATATGTATGAGCGAGTGTGTGTATGTGTGTGTGTGTGTGCGTGTGTATGAAGGATTTTTTATTTAAATGATTCATCTAAGACAACCTCTGTGGGCCCTGCTGCTCCCAGGACCTACATTCCAGGTGGAAATTTGGGGCCAGAATGATCGTGCATGTCTGAGCATGTGTTTCAGAAGCAGAATGGAATTTGGAGACTCTTACTATTTCTACCTTGAAAAGTTACACTCACTTTGGCTTCCTGAAGTGAGCACACATGCAGGGTGTAATCCACAGCGACCCCTCACCCACTTTCCTTCCTTTTTTTTGTTTCTTAGTACTACTCTGCATCAGGTATCAACGTGCTTCTGGTCATGGAAGCTAAGAAGGTCACTAATCCGAACATGATCTGGGCCCTTGCCATTATTTCCACCCGATTTACTCTAATCTTCTAATTCTAATTTAATATGCATTGCTCGTCAGGTCCCAGCAGATCCATTCTGCAAGCCTATGCAGTTACTAAGCTCCATCTGTAGGGTCTTTTCCAAAGCAGAAGTGTTTAATTTTGATGAAATCTGAGTGATACATTTCTCCCTTTTGACCATGAATTGTCCTAAGAACTCTTCTCTAAGTCCTGAGTCTGAGAGATTTCTATTTTCTTCTAAAAGTTTGATAGCTTTATGGTTTATATATAAATAAAAGCTCTATTTTTAAATTAATTTTTAAGCAATTTTAATTTTTAAATAAAGCATTAGGCTAAGGTCACAATTCTTTATCTTTTTCTTTTGCCCGCCTATAGGCAATAGCTCTTACTCAGACACCTGACTGAGGATTAACATCGAGAATATATAAACAAACTCCCCAAAATGAACAGACACTGCATCCTAAAGATGTCCAACATCCTTAGGCATCCAAGAGATGAAAATTAACCCAACATAGACATTGTTTCCTACCCCAGTCAGATGGTTGTCTTTCAGAGAACAAATAACAACAGAGGCTGGTGAGGATGCTGGCGAACACATGCACTGATGGCGGGTGTGTAAATTAGTGCAGACATGTGGGAGTCACCATGGAGCTAAAAGACTGTAAGACTGATGATCATGTGACCCACCCAAGCCACTTCTGGTAGCGCCCAAAGGAATTTAAGGCAACGTATCAGAGACACTAACACACTGCTCTGCTATGATGATGGCCAGGTTATGGAGTCATATATCAGGCGAATGGATAAAGCAAATGTCACATACACACGATGGAGTTCTATTCAACCAAAGAAGAATGGTACAGTGTTATTTTTTTTGGAAAAATGGATGACACTAGAGATTAACAAGTGAAATAAGCCGAACTCAGAAAGACAATGATATCACTTAAAGATCATGAATATTACATGGCATGTACAACATTTACATATAAATCTATAATATATTAGAGATGGTATATATCATAGATGCTATATGTATATATATCACATGGAGTCATATATATGTACACAGACATATGACACAAAAAGTAAAAATGACACTGTCGAGGGAAGGAAGGACTCGTGGGGTGACAAGGAGGAGGCATAAGAAGGTGATAAGGACAACACACATGACTACAACTATCATGTGGACCATCAGAATGAGCTAATAATTATCTTTTTTTAGGTAGGCATGGTGGCACATACCTTTAATCCCAGCATTTGAGAGGCAGAGGCAGGTGAGTTCCTGGCCAGATAAGGCTACATAGTGAGACCCTGTCTAAAAAAAAAATCTAGAAAATAATAGTGTTTCTGCTTCGCATGCACCATCCTCTCTGTCAGTGGACTGACGCCTGCTTTCCTTGCATGAGTGTTTGTCTGGCGAATCCCTCTGCTTCTTTTACTTCTAAGCTCTCCCTTCTTTAGTTCTGAAGCAAGCTGCCTGTAGACAGTGTTCTCAAACCCATCCTGCCAAGCTCTGCTCCCGGTTGCCGTATTTAGACCATCGTGTTTAGTGCATTCTCGGTACATTGACATTTAAAACGACCACTCAACTTTTTTTTATTTCTGCATGTTCTTTTTTGTTCTCTTTTCTGTCTCCTTGTGGCTTACTGTAACAAATCTTATAGTATTTTTGAATACATCATTTTTGTATAGCTTTTTAGAAGGTGCTTTTTACCTCCCATCATCCCTTTATCTTCCTCATTAAAACTGTCTTAATTATTTTCATTGCCACAGGCACATAACATTTTTGTTTCAAATTCACAGTCTTTCCTTTGCCCTCTCGATTTTGTAGCCGAACAGGTCCATTTGGTTTTTAATTTAGTTACTATATAGTTTAGTCCTCAAATTTCCTGTTCAAAAAATGTTTAATTTCCCATCTAAGATTTTTTTTTTGCTGATGTTTTCACCTTTAAAACATATCTCTAGAATGTGCCTGATCGCTCGCTCAGACATTTTGGTAACGACTTTTGAAGACCCTCTTCAGATGCTTCTGCTGTCTCTGCCACTTCACGCTGTGTCCGTTGACTGTCAGGTCAACCTAAGAGCCTCTTCCCTTTCCTTCATTTAATGAGTGGTGTTTTAGCCACAGCCTGGACGTTTAGATATTACCATAGACTCTAGATATTATTTACCTGACTTACTTTATCAGAACCCCTGGACACTCTGCTGTTGGGTAGAGAGATGTAGCCTCATGACTGGCAGGTTTAGTTGGGTTAGTCTCTGTACCCAGAGGGAGTGGTTTCCTCACTATGGCAGGATGGAGGTAAGTGTAAAACTTAAAGTTCTCTACCAGGCCTCTGAAGATTTTGTAGTGGAGAAGAGAAGGGACCTCATTATGGCTTCTCACTGTTCACGATGACCTTGCCAGCTGAGGGAGCATGGGCTGGTGAGGCCAGAGCTTATGCTGGACTAGCTGCTAGGCCTCTTTTGATATCAGGCCTATGGGGAAGGGTTTGGATCCTTTGACCCCAGTAAGGACAGAAGTCTAGCTTCTCTGTGTGGTATCCGTCAGCACAGGAGGGCTGCCAAGAAATGAAGGCCCTGGCTTCCTATTTGGCTTTCCCAACACCGCTCTGCCCTGGGCCTTAAGACCTTTCTATAGCCTGTAATGCAAGTCTACTATTGTTCTCTTTGTTCTGATCTATGTTTTCTTTAGGGCAACAGCACTAGGGAGAGATGAGAGTGTGGTTTCTCGGAACCAGAATGTTCCAGTATTATCAAGGCCCACTGTCAGGGTCTGAGACCTACCTTTCTTCTCTCAGCCCTCCCAATGGCAAACTGCTCTTGGATCAGCCTATCTGCCAAGGGTTTTGTCTATGCCCAGAGAACGCCAGGTCTCTTATTCTGTGTCCTCTCTGCACATTTGAGATCTGTGTCTGATACGTTCTGAAACAAGGGCTGCTAGGCAACAGAATAACCTAAAAAACTCCACGTAAACTCGGAATTGGCCACTTAACTTGCAGCCAACCAGGCTGAGCCTCGGTCCTCGTTCTTCTGGTATCCCGTCACCCAGGATACTTCTGAGAATTATTGAAGAGTATCTCATGACAACACAGAGTGCCTATGTTAAAACACTGCAATAAAGTCAGGTGTAAATCTGCCTGTAGCGTCCAGCAGGGCTCCTTCTTTTCCGACAAGGAGGTAATGTAGTCCCCGCCAGTTCTATCCACTATCAAACAATGAAGATAGAGCCGGGGGGGGG